AAAACAAGTTTCAGATATCATGCTATAACACAGGATAGCAGTTTTCAAAGGGTGGTCTAAAAACCTACTGAGTGACACAAGAAGGTACCCCGTGTGTGAGAGTGACATTCCTGGAGTCCAACCCAAGCAGAGCTACTGATGGAAAATGGAGAGTTACCTGGAGGAGTTTAGTGGGCAGCCCTTCAGTCAGGGGGAGAGGCAACTGAGGATGTTGAGAAGGTATCGCGTGTCAAAGCTTCATGATAATGAGATTTTGGGTGATGTACTTATCCTGGGTGAAGCATGATGTTCCTGGAGCCTAGAAGAAGTGATGGAACTGTTAGAAGATGGAGATTGTAGATAACATTTTGCATAATTTACCCATCTTTAAGGATTATTTTTAAAATATGTATTTAAGATATTGACCACCAAGTATAGACTGAAAATGTCAGACTTATGGTTATTTCTTTGTCTTTGGCATTTCTGTGTGTGCGAACATCACACTTTAGGTATTATCAGCACTTCCTGAATGTAGGGCACTGAACACATATATGTGAACATAAAAAAGTTATGAAGTATTAGGTTATGTCATATTTAATCTCCCGATGATGTGCCAATTTACCTGGGTCTATTGGAATAGTTTTTAATCCGGAGAGGACAAAAACACAAATGTCACTTATTTCTGGTAATGGGGAATGGAAATAGACTGATAAATTGAAATCCCAGACCATCCATAACATTGTTATAACTACTTACTAGTTTCTCCTTTATTCAAATTTTAAATAACACTGGTTTCAAAATGTAGCAAATAAGTTTCATTTCCTTTCCATTGTTGTAATGAAATGAGAGGTGATATTAAATGGTTTCAAATTTAAACTCAGTAATTAGCTTGGATAATACCTACATCAACAATATAAAGTTCCCAGTAAGATTTTTTTAAGTATAGCTGATTAATATATTCCTTTATTGGTTCCTTAGAGGAAGAAATGTACACTTTATGGAAAGGTTAAAAATTATTGGTGTAATCAGAAACCTAGGAAGTGTGTCAAAATTGTTGGATCGGCTAAATGTTGGCACCAGGTTTTTTTAAAGTACTTAAAAAGAAGTACATTTTATATCATTCTTAACACATTCTCTTATAACACTGAAACTAGTATACTGTGATTCTGATTTCCTCTTGCACAAACACAACAAAGACAATAGCAGCTTCTTGTGGAGGTTTCAGAAGTAGAATTTTTCATAAAAGTAAAAATGAGGACCTGAAGCCAGAACAACTTATAAAAATTTTCCTTTCCCCTGGTATTTGTAATCTATGTAGTAGTTAATTTGAGGGCCAATATTGAAGGATATTTTTTCTGTACACTTTGGTTCCCTTTACACTTCTGACTTTATGCTTTCTGTTTTGTCATCCTAATTCAAACTATGAAAATGTGCCCTGTGACAATTCCAATATGCTGAGCCCTCTTCCCAGAGTCCAGGATCCAGTTCATTCAGCCTCCTTTCTGTTCTTAGTATGGGACAGTCTACCTGCCATCTCCAGGCTTTTTCATAGACTGCCCCTCAGGTCTGAAATCTGTTCCCTACTCATTTGTACCTCATGTCAAAGCTGAGCTTCATAGCCATCTTCTTGGTGAAGTTCTTAATCCTTCTGCTGCTTATAGGATATCTCTCTCGCCCCTACCCCACCTAGTTTTTAAAATTTACTTTTCATATATTTTGTATTTGTGAGTGTATGTCTTTTGGTGGATAGTAAACTTGACCTCTGAGGCTAGAGCACCTCTATTGTAGATCTGTTCCTGAAACATCTTAGCAGTGGAATACAGGACAAGTCACTTAAGCCTAAAGTCCCCAGGCAACTTCCTAAGGGGAAAAGTGGTTGGTAAAGGGAGTACCCTAAAGGACTGAAATCACCTTGTGATATTTAGGTCATATTTAAGGTTCAATCAATCAGTGAGTATTTATCAAACTCTCTTAGGTGAGGGGCAGTACATTAGGTTCATACATACATACACATATACATATACACACATATATAAATATACAAGTAAGCCCCATGTAAGGTGTAGGGCTATATACATATAGACACATATATTTATTTTTAATCATCTTGTGATATTAGCTCCCAGAAGGTAGGAACTATTTTATTCTTGACTTTGTGCTCCCAGGACCTAGCAGAAAGAAAACTTAATAAATGCTTGTTGATATGTTGATTAAAACCTTAAGTATGGATGACCAAGCTCAGCCATGGCATATCCCTCATTTCTTTATGCCATAGTGGAATCAATTTCTCATAGGATTATTTTCATTTTCCTCTATTTCTATGTTTAAGTTAAACACATTTATTAAAGCACCTGCTTTGTGCAAGGCATTTTGACTTTGGGGATATAGTAAGAAAAATCATTTTCTGCCCTTAGATTTCATTTTGTTGTTGTTCATCCTTCTTTCTCAAAGAGGACCATGACATCAGGAGGATGTTGCCATGACTTGCAAATGAACTGACTTTAAGTGAGGGAGGGCTGTGCAAAGTAACCAGCTTCACTTTCTCCTCTTGAACCATCTGGGTCCAGTGGCAAGATATAGATCAGTATGACTGGAGATGGCCCCCATGTTTATTGGATGGAGGTACAACATATACACAGATAAATGCAGCGTAGTTTGTCCTTCCTTCTTGAACCACACCAATGACATCATGAGGGTAATGCCTTGAATTGCTTGTGAATTGGGTTTAACCGAGGCAGAGTCAGCCTCATTCTCTTCTCAAGAATTGTCAGAGTTCCTTGACAATACAAAAGTCAAGACAACTGACTATGGGCTGGGATACAGTGGGTGACCTTGGCCTTTCTAAAATAAGGTCTTTCCCAGGTCTCAGTTTGTCTGAGGCAACACCCATTGAGTGACTAAGGGCAAAGTAAGAAGTAAGACAGAAGATGGCCCAATTTACCATTATAAAAATATCTGTCTGGAAGGGAAGACCTTCTGCTTCTTGCTAAAATAGAAAACAATCGCTATTTACACTCATTCTAAGCCATCAAAACCTAAACAACGATCCATGGAGGTTTAGGCTGGAAGCTATTATTGGTTATTCAATGAAAGCCAGAGTGATTTGGATTTTAAGACTTTGTCTAGTAGCTCCATTTGAAACACAATGGGCCAAGGTAACAAAGTATTTTTAAGAGGGGAAAGCCTTAACACCTGGATGAATCAGGAAAGGCCATTGGTAGGAGGCCTTTGTTCAGCTTCATAAAGATCCATAAGTAGTACAACCATTAGCATAGATAGTTCATTGTTTCTGTATACACATAGGCCATCATTATCTGGTGACCAGCCTTCTTGGGGTGAACTTCTGTCTATGTAGCTAGGCTTTGGTCTCTGACTGTAGTCCCTGAGCTTCTTTATGAAGCCTTTCCAACTTGGTATGTCTACTACAGCTTAACTCATCTCTGCTTCCATGCCATGAGGATGCATATGAGGAAGACTCCTTTAAAAGGGGCAAGCTGCTAAGACAGTGACTTAATTTCGGTTCCATGGAGGGCATAGCAAATTATTGAAGTTCAGTAAATAACAAATGCTGGGGACCCAGAGAACCATAGGTTGTCCTCTTCCACGTGAATTCTTTAGGCTGTAATAACTATTTGTTACTGTTGGAATGCAATTCAAGGTGTTAATTTTAAGTTGTAAAGCCTATTATGCTCTGCTTTCCATTGAAATTTTCCCTTTCCTATGATCCCATGCTTCAATTAAAATAACCAGATCGATTGTTTAAATTGTTTTGAGACTGGATCATCAGAGGTTTAGAACAAGATTGTTCCTTATTAATAGTCCAATTTGGGTGTTGATTTTGTTTTCTTTTCTGAAAATGGCACCTTTTATTAATACATTGCCATACAAATTTATAGCAGAATAAGAATTGTTGTAAAGCAGTCCAATTTAAGGTGGCCTGTACTTCTGAGATCAGATTAGAACTCTGTGGGAAATATGTTCACAATCACTCTGGCCCCAGACCACCATTAAGACTTTCAAGTGAGTGGGCAGCAGAGCTCCAACTGTACCAAAACAATAGACAGCTTAATAGAGAGGATAGAACTGCTGGACTTGGAGTCAGGAGAACTGGATTGAAATCCCAACTGAGATACTTATTAGATTTGTGTTTATGGACAAGGCACTGAAGCTTTCCGTGTCTCAATCTGTGAAATGGGGGAAATAATATTTGTACTACCAGCTTCAAGGGGTTGCTGCCCAAGGAAGTGTTTTATAAGTTTAAAGTTGCATGTAAATATGGGTGGTGGTGGTTGTTCTCCACTTGTCTTTATGTCTCCAGCGTCTTGCACAGTGTCCTTCACATAGTAGGCATTTAATAAACATTCATTGAATTGGGCTGTTGTCATTATGTTAAGGATAGCAATGGTCCTGTGGGCATTTCCAGCATTACCCCCATAACCATTGGTGTGGCATTGGGGGAGGGTGTCCTTGGGCATAGAGTTTTCCTAAACTGAAAATTTGTTTTGAAGTGGAGAAGCTGTTTCTTTAGCTATCTTGATATCTTGATTTCAGTCTGTTTCATCTAGTTTTGTTTGAGAAAACTGCTTACTATTATCTGTAAAATTACTCTTTCATGCATATATCAAGATATATACTAAGCCTTCAGGTTAAATAGTTCTGTGGGTTGTTATTGTGGTTTTTAAAGATTTTTTTTAAGTTTTATAAGTGCCAATTTTTTATAATATTACAAATTGCTTAAAATATTTTCCCTAGAAATTATCCTTGATGTGATAATTCAACAAGCATTTATTAAGTGCCTTATATGTGCAGGGAACTGAGAATATAAAAAGACAAAACAGTGAAAACCATCACTGTTTTCATGGAGCTGGAATAGCTCACATCTCTTTTAAAGTTTACAGAGAACTTTTCTTACATCACATATTTGCTGTTGTATCATCTATACGTATATTGACAAATGCTATGACCTTCTACTTCAGCCTGCTTTATCTTCCCATATTAAATACTCTTCTGAATTTTGTTAGAAGAAAACATGACCCTTGCTCTTCAGGACCTCTGACTGGAGGATGGAGTAGAGAGCTCTTCCCAAAGCCTTCATTTAAAGAGGACATTGTGGCCATCCATCTCTTCCTCTGCCACCTGCTGCACCCACCCCTGTACTGGGTACGTTCTCTTTCTCCCTGCCCTGCCTTTGGCTATTTTTTGTGTAATGTCTTCCTCCACTGCACTGTAAGCTGCTTGAGGACTGGGATTGTCTTTTTCTCTTAAGTATCCCCAGTACTTAGCACAGTGCTGGCAAACAGTAGGTGTTTAATAATTGTTAATTGGCTGCCTTTGAGCTACATGATAGAAGAGCACAAGTGTACATAAACAAAAATGACAAGCATTGAAATACAGTCAGATTCCTCTGGCATTTGAAGCCGCTCACAGTCTGGCTCCAGTCTATCCTTTCAGGCTGATGACATGTTATTTTCCCTCACATACTTTGTGTTATTGGCACACTGAGCTTGTTGTTGCTTCCCATAGGTGATATTGCATCTCCCAGTTCCATGCCCTTACAGGCCTTAACGTCATGCCTGTCTGTCACGCTCTCCTTTTTCACCTCTGCCTTTTGGTACTTCTACCTGATTTTCCAAGGTTCAGCCCAAATGTCACCTGCTAGCAAAAGGACATTTCCACGTTTCCTCAGTTGTTAGTATTCCTCCTTTCCACACTCATGGAAATTACTTTGAATTTATTTTTCATCTACTTATTTGTGTACATATTGTTCCCCTGAAGTAGATGGTTAACTCTTTGAGGGCAGAGGCTGGTTCGTTTTTGTCCTTCCTGTGCCTGGGATAGTGCCCGAAATAGGTAGTTAATAAATGCTGGTTGAAATGAAGTATAGTTGAACAAATATGGGCCAAGAAATAATTGAGATGTGAGATTTCTCTGGAAAGATTTCATGGAGATGGTAAATACTGATTTGCATAGAAAGAAGCTTTAGCTTTAAGTTTTACTCAACTGGAAAGGTATGAGTTCTATCTATCTTTAGACTCACCTAATCCCAGTTTCTTCATAAAGTCTCACAAAAGCCAGCGTGAAGCAGTTATTATCTGTTCTGTACCATTCATTCAAATGTAGTGAAGCCTTGATTATATATTTTGAATTCATCAGAGTAATGATGAGTAAGAAAATGGTAAGTAAAGCAAGATGAAGCTTTGAAGATAGAGAAAAGCCAGATGTAGATTAGGAGGCAGTGACTTGTCACCTCCTTTGTTTTGTGGGATAGCCATGTTAGAGACAATTGAACTACTGTACATCTCCATTCCAGGATTGTATTTAGCTATAACCATGGTTCCCAAAGACCTCTTTTTGGCTAAATTAATAGCTGCTTAAGAAAATGAATGTTGAAGATTTAGGATCAGTAGTTGGAGTAGCAAAATGATTGGGTGTGGAACAGTATTGGCTTACTATATTATTTTTTGATACCTCTTCCATTATCATATGCTATATTACCTAAGTATTTTATTGTTATTTAACTGTTGACAATTGTCTTATCTTATCAACTAGCAAATGAGTAATTGTTTTTTTCCCCCACCTAGCAGTAGAGACAGCTAGGTAGCCCAACAAACAGAGCACAGGACCTGGAATCAGGAATCAAAATTAACCCCTGACATTCACTAGCTGTGTTGTCTCAAATGTAAAAGGGGATAATAATAGCACTTACTGCCAAGGGTTTTTGTGAAGATCAAAGGAAAAATATTTATAAAGCACTTATCCCAGTGCCTAGCACATAGAAGATGCTTGATGAATGCTTGGTCCTCCTTCCCCAGCTCTACTAGAAGCACTTTGAAAAGCCACAACCATTTCTATATTACTTTGGAGTACTGTATGGAGAACGTCATAATTTCCACATTGTAAACTTTCCATAAACACTTGAAAATGATTTACAGGAAGGGAGATATGGTTTAATAAAGAGAAAATGCTATGGTATAATGGACATTGCACTGGACAGACAGAAGATGAAGATTCTCATCTCAGCTCTCCCACTAACTCACTATAGTTCTTTAAATCTTTGTAGGCCTTAGTTTCCTCATCTACAAAATGAGAGTTTTTGGCAAGATGTAATCTGTAAGGTCTTTTTCTCTCCAAAATATCCTATGACAATTTATAAGAAAGAATGACATGTGGATATTGCTGACTGGATATAGGACTGGCTGTCTTGGTATAGTAAATGAATACAAACATCTAGCTAAGGCAGATTTCTAAGTGGAATAGACAGGAAATGCATATTCTCTCCCCCTGCCATTTTAACAGGTTATTTTGAGGTCCATAGTTGTACCTTTCAGAACAATGATTATTTTTGTGGTCAAACGTTATTTAATAAACACAGCTGCATACAAATTAACTGAAACAAGATAAAATAGCAAAATATATTGACATACATTTAGCCTTAAACTTCCATCTTTAAAAATATGTAATAGGTGCTCCTTCTGCTACAGTCACTTGTCTTACATAATTTGGAACTAAATTCACAACATTTAGACACATTTCTTATCACGAAACCTTATATTGGATATTGAGACTATCTTTGACATCTCATTTTTCCAAGTCTAGTCTTTATTATATTCCATAGGTTTTAACAGAAGTTAAGTCAGGTGAGTTCCATGGCCATTGAAGAAATCTGTTTCCATCTAGTAGATAAATTCCTTAAGCTTTTGTCATATATAGCATGGGTATAATCTTGCGTTGCAATATTTTACCTTCATTTGGAAATTCTTATAGTTCTGGGTAAATTCTTCTTAGGATATCAGTGTATTTATCAGTGTTCATCATTTTCTTAGTAGGGACAAGATTTACAAAGCTAGTGGAAATAAAGAATTCCCCAAACGGGTATGTGTGTATGTGTTTGTGTGTGTCTGTATTTTATGGTCTCATGAAGATGCCAAATTTCTCAACCTCCCCTGAACTTCTTTTAGCAATGATTTTAGTATAGCCTTGAATGAAAAAGCATGTTTTACCAGTAAAATTGACCCTTTTCCATTTTCAAAACTTTAGTCTTTGTTTTCTTTCTTGTGACATTTTTTATTCATAGCAAGAATTAGCAGGTTTGGTTTTTTTTTTCCAATTTCTGTGCTATTCTTCCAACTGTAAATGCTTCTGCCATACTGTAGAACCATTGTTCTTACAGTTTCCATTTACCTCAGAACATTTTGGCTTGTTTTCTGAAGATGAGTTTTTCTTAACCACACTTTGTGTTTTGGTGTGACTGATCTGTTTTCAGTGTGGGCTTATAAAATAATCTTTAAAACTCTTGACTTGCCCATACCAGTAGCTATTGCAGTATCTCTGTTAGTCATTGACTCTTAAGAGCTACAGCATTCACATGTTTTTTGGAGTCATATCTATTTTTAAATCACTGAATTTAAAACAAACAAAAAAAAACTTTCTGAATGGAAGGAAATACTTACTAATACCTTCTATGTCACAGGCCCTTTACAAATATCCTGTCACTTGATCCTCATAATCCTGGGAGGTTGATTCTATTTTTATTCCCAATTTGTAGTAGAGGAAACTGAGATTCACAGAGGTAGTTGTGTCTGAGGTGGATTTGAACTCAGACCTACCTTACTCCAAGCCCAGTGCACCACTTAGTCGCCTACTGATACAGTTGTTGCAATATCTCTGCAATTAGTGATGTATAACTGTAGCTTAGAGTTACAGGGCTGCATATATAAATTTAGAAATTAGCTCTTTAAAGTAAAGTAATCTGTTTAAAGGCCATGGAATTGAAAAGATCACCAACTGAGATACTATGGAGGAAAAGAGGTGAGGTCCCAAGACAGAGCCATTGGAAGCACCAATGGTTAGTGGGTATAATGTGGATATGTGGTTACATGGTGTATCAAATAACCAGCAAATAAGACAGAGAGTAGAGATAATCTAGAAGGGAGAAGGCAATAGATAGTGTCTTAGGTGGCAGAGGGTTCAGGAAGGATGAGGATTTTTTAAAATTAGATTTGGCAATTAAGAAATAATTGATCCTTTTGTTATGTTTTTTTTTAAGTTTTTTTTAAAATCTTCTTAATTTATTTATTTTTGGTTTTCAACATTCACTTCCACAAGATTTCGAGTTCCAGATTTTTTCCCCATCTCGTTCCTCCCCATCTTGTCCCTCTTCTCTCCCTTCTATCTCTCTCTCCCCCTTCCCCTTTCCTTTATATTTTCCTTTAGGGCAGGGTAGATTTCTATACCCTATTGCCTGTATGCCTCATTTCCCAGTTGCATGTGAAAACAGTTTTTAACATTTGTTTTTAAAACTTTGGGTTCCAAATTTTCTCCCTTCCTCCCTCTTCACCCACCTTCATTGAGAAGGCAAGCAACTCGGTACAGGTTATACATGTGTAGTCGTGCAAAACACTTCCATAGTAGTCGTGTTGTGAAAAACTAACCATATTTCCCTTCATGCTATGCTGCCCCCCATTTATTCTATTCTCTCCTTTGACCCTGTCCCTCCTCAGAAGTGTTTGCTTCCGATTACCCCCACCCACAGTCTGCTCTCCCCTCTATCATCCCCCTGCTCGCTTATCCCCTTCCCCCTTATTTTCCTGTAGGGTAAGATAGATTTCCATACCCAATTGAGTGTGTGTGTGTTACTCCCACCTTAAGCCAAATCTGATGGGAATAAGATTCATTCATTTCCTCTCACCTTCCCCTACTTCCCCTCCACTGTAAAAGCCTTTTCTTGTCTGTTTTTGTGAGATAATTTACCCCATTCTACCTCTCCATTTCTCCTCCCATTATGATCCTCTCTCACCCCTTAATTTTACTCTCCAGATATCACCCCTTCATCTTCAACTCATCCTATGCCCTCCTTCCCTCCCTCTCTCTCTTTCTCTCTCTCTCTCTTTCTCTCTCTCTCTCTCTCTCTCTCTCTCTCTCTATATATATATATATATATATATTTACACACACATATAATTTGTTTCTTTCCAATTACCCTAATACTAACAAAGGTCTCATGAGTTACCAATATCATCTTTCCATGCAAGAATGTAAACAGTTCAACCTTAATAAATCCCTTATGATTTCTCTTTCCTGTGTAGTCTTCATGTTTCTCAAGTCTTGTTATCTGAAAGTCGAATTTTCTATTCAGTTCTGTTCTTTTCATCAAGAATGCTTGAAAGTCCTCTATTTCACTGAATATCCATTTTTTCCCCTGAAGGATTATACTGGGTATAAACCCAGTTTTGCTGGGTAGGTGATTCTTGGCTGTAATCCTATCTCCTTTGACCTCCGGAATATTATATTCCAAGCCCTCCAGTCCCTTAATGTAGAAGTTGCTAAATCTTGTGTTATCCTGATTGTGTTTCCACAAAACTTGAATTGTGTTTTTCTGGTTGCTTGCAATATTTTCTCTTTGTCCTGGGAACTCTGGAATTTGACTATAACGTTCCTAGGAGTTTTCCTTTGGGGATCTCTTTCAGGAGGTGATTGGTAGATTCTTTCAATTTCTATTTTACCCTCTGGTTCTAGAGTATCAGGACAGTTTCCCTTGATAATTTCTTGAAAGATGATGTCTAGCCTCTTTTTTTGATCATAACTTTCAGATAGTCCAACAATTTTTAAATTCTCTCTCCTGGTTCTGTTTTCCAGGTAAGTTGTTTTTCCAGTGAGACATTTCACATTGTCTTCTATTTTTTCATTCTTTTGGTTTTGTTTTACAATGTCTTGATTTCTCATAAAGTCATTAGCTTCCACTTGCTCCATTCTAATTTTTAAGGAAGTAGTTTCTTCAGTGAGCTTTTGGACTTCCTTTTGCATTTGGCCAATTCTGCTTTTTAAGGCATTCTTCTCCTCATTGGCTTTTTGGACCTCTTTTGCCATTTGGGTTAGGCTATTTTTTAAGATGTTATTTTCTTCAGTATTTTTTTGGGTCTCCTTTAGCAAGCTGTTAGCTTGTTTTCCATTATTTTCTTGCATCACTCTCATTTCTCTTCCCAGTTTTTCCTCTGCTTCTCTTACTTGCTTCTCAAAATCCTTTTTGAGCTCTTCCACGGCCTGGGACTGATTCATATTTTTCTTGGAGGCTTTGGATGTAGGAGCTTTGACTTTGTTGTCTTCTTCTGGTTGTATGTTTCGATCTTCTTTGTCACCAAATAAAGATTCTGTGGTCTGACTCTTTTTGCACAGTTTGCTTATGTTCCCAGCCAATTACTTGAGTTTTAAACTCTTTGTTAAGGTAAGGGTCTGCTTCCAGTGTGGAGAATGTACTGTCCCAAGCCTCGGGGGTTTGTACAGCTGTTTTCAGAGATCCCTCTAGGGACCTGTAAATTTTCAGTTCTTCCAGGGTGGTAGGATCAAGGGTGAGGTGTTTACTCCTTTCCTGGTTTGTGCTCTGGTCTGTGAGTGACCACAGGCACTCTTTTCTGCCTTGGAACTGTGAGGAAGATTCCCTCTCCATTGCCACTACAAGCTCCACCAGGCCAGTGCTCCTCCTCGCCCCAGGATTGTTAACCAGAACTGTGACCCAGATCCAAGTGCAGGCAAAGCAAGAGATTCCTGCCTCAGCACCAGCAGAGAGATCCCTGCAATCCCTCTCTGAGCAGCCATTCGATTCTCCCCAATAATTGATCCTTTTGGAGGAGACACTTTTGGTATCATAATGGAGTTGGAAGCCAGTATGCAGAAAGTTAAAAAGAGTGGGAGAGAAAAGGAAGTGCAGACACCTGTTGTAGATGGCCTTCTCACATTTAGATAGTAGTGGAGCAGAGATATGAGGTGATATCTAGTGGTGATGGATCAATTGTGTGAGGGGTTTTTTAAGTAGGGAGGAAACCAGGATGTGTTTGTAGACATCAGGGAATGAGCCATCTGAGAAGTAGAGATTGAAGATTAATGAAAGTGGGTATAATAGAGGTGACAATGTGGTAGACAGGAAAAAAAAAATGTAGACTCAAGAGTACATGTTATGGACATTACTTTTGACCATATGAGGTAGGTGAAGGAGCAGACAGTGACCCAGTGTGTCTGAATGTTGTGATATGAGGAGGCTGGAAGAAGGGGGTGGGGAGGAGCTTGTGGCTAATGGTGTCATTTTTTTTCCTATTAAGTATGAAGTGAAGTCTCCAATGAAGTGGTTGGGGCAGGGATGCTTATAAGAGGCTTGAGGAGAGATGAGAATATATGGAAAAGCCACTGTGGAGAGTGGGAAAGCAAATCCACTGTGGAGAGTGGGAAAGCAAATCCACTGTGGAGGGATGAATCATTTGCCTTGTTCTGTTTTAGGCCCAGTTGATATTAAATATCATAAATTAGTTGTGAAACCAATCAACATGGTTTTGTGATTTCCTCCAGCTCTGTCAGCAGTTCATGAAAATGAATGAAACCTATGGACAGTGCATGTAACTCAACTTTATTGTTTTGTTTTGTTTTTATTTTGTTTTTGGCTAGACAATGGGGTTAAGTGACTTGCCTAGGGTCATACAGCTGGTAAGTGTTGGATGGAGGATATTTGGCTTAGGGATGTGGTGTTTGCAGAGCTGAAACCAAGCAGAGCAATTGGTGGAAAATGAAGATTCTAGCATGAAGTTTCTGAGCCCTCTGTGAAGGGAGACTTTTAGGATTGCCAATGAGAATGCACCCCCTCTGTCATTCCTACTCTCTTGCTTATTTTCAATCCCTCCCTCTCTACTGGCTTATTTCCTACTGCCTACAACAATGCCCATGTATCTCCTATCCTGAAAAAACCCTTCCTTGATCCTTCCATTATCCTTGCTAACTTATTGTCCTATACCTAGGACTGCCCTTTTTAGTTAAACTCCACCGAAAGGTTGTCTACAATAGGTATCTTCACTCTCCTCTCACTCCCTTTTTAACCCCTTACAATCTGGCTTCCAACCTTATTCCACTGAAATTGCTCTGTCCAAAGTTAACAGTGATCTCTTAGTTACCAAGTCCAGTGACCTTTTCTCAGTCTTCATTCTCCTCACATTTAGGCAGACTTTGACACTGTTGATCACTTTCTCCTCCAGGATACTCTCTTCTCTTGGTTTTCCGGACATTACTGGTTTTCCTTCTACCTCTCTCACCATTCCTACTCTATCTCCTTGGCCCGATGTTCTCCAGATTACAGCCTCCAAACGTAAGTGTCCTTCAGAGTTCTCTTCTGGGTCCTTTTTTCTCTTCTCTCGGTACTGCTTCACTTTGTGATCTCATCAGCTACCATGGATTTAATTACCATCTTTATGCCAGTAATTCTCAAATCTACCTTTGCTGCCTCAATATCTCTGCAGATCTCCTGCGTTGTAGACATCTTAAACTTAATATGTCCAAAACAGAACTCATTTTCTTTCCCCCTAAACTCTCCCTCCCCCCTACCTTGCCTGTTATTATAGAAGGCAACACCATCCTCATAGTCCAACAGGTTAACAACCTAGGAGTCATCCTAGATTCCCCAGTATTTGTTACCCCTAATATCCAATCTGTTGTCAAGGCCTGTCAATTTCACCTACTCAGCACCTCTTAAATACACTCCCATCTCTTCTCTGCCACTGCCATTCCATTGGTACCAGCCCTCATCACCTTACACCTGGATTATTGCAGTAGCCTGCTGGTGGATCTGCCTCCCTCAGGTCTCTCCCCATTTAGCCACTAAAGTGATTTTCCTAAGATGCAAGTCTGATAATGAAGCAGGTCTGATTGTGCCAACTAAGAGAAATGAGGAGTAGTGTATTGGTAGTCAGTTAACTAGCATTTATTAAGTGCCAACTATGTGCTGGGTATTGTGCTAAGCAGAAGACAGTCCCTGCTTTCAAGTTCTTTTCAGTATGAGGGAGATAATATGCAAAGAACTATGTCCAAGTGAGATATGTGCAAGATAAATTGGAGATAATTAACAGAAGGATGGCACCAGCATTACAGAGATTTGGAGGATGACTTCTTGAAGAAGCAGGAACTCTCAGCTGAGGCCTGAAGCAAGCAAAGGAACCTAAGACATGGAGATGAGGGTGAGAGTTTCAGGCCTGCTAGATGACTACTAAAAATGCCAGCTTCAGAGATGGAGTCTCTTGAGAGGAACAGCAGGAAGGCCACTGTGACTAGATACTTGAGTATGTGGGGAGAGTTGTAGGAGGAGTGTGAGCCCAGAAAGCTGGAAAGAGGCCAGGTTATGGAGGATTTTAAAGGCCAGAAAGAGTATTTGATTGTAGAAGCAATAGGTGCCACTGGAGCTGATTGAATAGGGAAACGATGTGGTAGCTGGATGGAAAATGAATTGAAGTGGGAAGAGCCCTGAGGCCAGCCCACAGCAGGCTCTTGCAGTGGTTCAGGCATGAAGGGGTGGGGGCAGTGCCATAGGAAAGAAGAGTAATATTTGAGTGATGTTGTGCAGGTAGAAATGGGAGCACTTGGAAACTGTTTGGATGTGGAAGGGTCAGAGAGAGCAAAGAGGGTTGTGAGCCCAGGTAACTGGGGTAATAGTGGCTCCCAAGGGTGTGCTAGAACCATTTGGAACCTCCAGCTGTTGTTAACTTTTCAGTGTGCGCGTTTACACGTGGAAAACTGGCAAGCGTTGTCCATCTGGGCCTAGTTTGTTTTGTTGATAGTCTAGAGGCATCTAGGTGACACAGTGGATAAAATACTAGGCTTGGTGTCAGTGATAGCTGAGTTCAAATACAGCCACAGATACCTACTAGATGTGTGACCCTAGGCAAGTCATTTAACCTCTGTCTGTCACAGTTTTCTCGTTATAAAATGGGGATAATAATACTTCTCAGGGTGATGTAAGGATCAAATGAGAGTATTTTTAAAGTGTTTAGCATAGCACCTGGCATATAACATGTGCTTTATATATGTTAATTCATCTCCCTTCCCCCCTCCCCCTAGTCTTAAGAAAATGAGAGGAAAATGTTAATAATGCAGATTAAGCTTAAAAGGGTGTCATGAATACGTGTTTTTTTTCTTCTCCAGAGAGCTGGTTGTTAAGTCGTTCCCCGCACATCCGTGGTAGTGTCCCCCACAGTAGATGGGGATGGCGTGGAGGGAATTCATCTGAAGGACATTTCCAAGGAAAATCAG